AAAAAAAAAAAAAAGGAAGCTTGAAAGGATCTTCTCAGTCTGGGAGAATTCCAGCTCTGCCTGCAGTGCTCTCCTATAATAACAGGGGCAGGATGAAAACCAAGCTCACAGGAAATGAAAACTTTGAGCCTTGGTGATGCTCATTCAATAAATCTGAGCATATGAGCAGGAAATGATGGCACTTTTGAATATTAGTAAGAATCTGGAGTTTGGTGTGTCCAGCTGAAAAAAGCATGTGGTACAGAGCTGGACTTTGTGAGGCCAAAAGGAAATGAAAGCAGCAAGAATGAAAAATGGTCATAACTGGGAAAATGTGGAGCTGGCCTGAGGGATCACAATAAAGGGCAGAGGTCTCTGGAAAAGGAGGATTTCACACAGCTGACAGGGACTGAGAGCTCTGAGCAGCCATGTGGATGGAACAGGATCCTATCAAGATGCTCAGAGTTCTGGGAAGAAGAAAAATATCCCATAAAATTCAGTTTTGCTGTAAGATAGTCGGGTGACCAGAATAAATTCAATCTTCTCTCCTGCAAAAACCCTTATGGTGCTCATCAAAACCCAATTATTGTAAGAGAAAAACATGTGACTAATTGTTAAATATCTTCAGATGAGGCTTCAGCAGTGGATGGGACTTTAAAAAAATAATTCTCCTGCTTTCCAGCAAAGCTTGGGAGAGGAAGAGAAGAATCTGCTGGATATTCACAGGCCAAAGTCAGAAGCATCTAAAATTAAATCCTGAGAGGAAGCAGCTTTATGGGACAGACTGCCACTGACATTTTGACTCCGAAACTGCAATTTCCAGTCTCTCTGGGTGTTCCTTCAGCAGCTGCTCCTTGAAGCAGCTGAGGTGGGAGGTATCCTGTACACTTCGGCCAAAAAAAAAAATTCCTGCCCAAAAAAGCAGCCTGGCCACGCCCACCTCACCGTGCTTCCCGTAGGAATTGCCCATGTTGTAGGTTGTCCCATCAGCCTCGTAGTGGGGATGAGCTGTGGCCCCATTCACTGCAATGAACTTGCTCCAGTCCACCTGCAAATGCCAAAAGATTTTCAGTCAGTGCAGAATTCTCCAAAGAGTGGGATTTGTGGAAGTCTGAGGAAGAAGAGCAAGTTTTATTCGTTCTTAATAATGTGGGGTCTGGAATGAAGCCTTCATTCTGCCTGCAATACTCCTGAAATCCTTGGAAATGAGGATATTTCTCTATGAGTAAAGCAGGACTAAGAGCAGCAGACTTTTCTTGGAAGGCACAGATGTTCCTCATGGAACAAGTGCTGGCACAGTGGGAATGTTGCCCATAATAAGCACAGGTGTGAAGGGACAGTCACTGCCCCAAAAAATCACCAAGAGTTTCGTCCCTGGAAGCTCAGGAAACCAGGTCCTGTTAAGGCATCTCAAACTGGAGAGTTTAAATGTGAAATCATCCCTTCCATTTCTTCACTTAATCAAAAAAAATAGCAGTCTGCATCTAAAAAAAACTGCTTGAGGGGATTTTTTTTTTCATTTTATGACAAGATGGTTCAACAGAGCTGAACCTAAAATTCCCCACGTGTCTTTTCATGACTGCATTCTGGTTTACAAACAGACCAGCTGGCAAATCAGCCAGGATACCTCTGTGGCTGTTCATACTGTTCATTCCTGACTCACTACTCATCCCGCAGGGAGGGACTCCTGGAGTGCCTCCATCCCGACCTGAGGGATGCTCTGAGCTGGCATTTTTTGGTGCCAAGGAGGCCCAGCAGTAAATACTGATTTAGGAAGGGCAGAATCCTCCTCACAGCTCACAGCTGTCCAGCCCAAATCCCTTGTGAGGGCGCAGGCAGGGGGGACACGTAGCTCATGCTGTCCTGTCACATGTCACCGTCTGTCACGTCCAGCCATGCTCCGGGAGAGGACGCAGGGAAAAACTCCTCTGATGTTTTGCTCATTTTCTAGCAGGGGGGAGAAAACCAAGTGGCAGCTGAACCATCCCTTTGCAGCAGAGGGTTTGATCAAGGGCAGCTTTGGAGTGTGCAAAGCTTGAGGTGTAAAAAAGCAGATAAAGGGAAATGATAGGAAAGCAAAGCACCAGGAAAAGGCAGATGTGAGATCAGCCATGACCACTTTGTCTTGTGCACAGGAAAAGGTTGTTTCCTGTTCTGCTGAGAGGTGCAGACAAGCCCAGGCAAGCAGGGAGAGCAGAAATGCCAGCTGTGCCCAGCTGGGCAGTGCCTGCACCTCCACCCCTGAGAGCTGCCCTGCTGCTGCCCAGCCTCTTCAGGGGCTCACCACAGAGATGTCTGCTGGTCCAGACAAATCCTTTGGAATTGGAGCTCCCCTTGATCCAGCAAGGTGTGGATCTCTTCCATGTGTACCCCAGCCCCCTCACCCCACCTGCCCACACCTTTTCCTTCGTTTCCAGCGTCTCTGGGTCCACCTTGTGCATGAAGACAGTCTCGTTGCTGACGTAATAATCCCCTTTGTACAGCACGTAGTTCACATTGGAGTTATCACTGGGCTCTGAAAGAGAAATCCCGGAGTTGTGCACAGCTCTGTGCAGCTCATGTCACATTATGGCAAGTTAGACGTGTGTAAACAAATAAACCCATTTGCAGTGACATTAATCCCTGTGTGACTGATTGGAAATACCTCATTAATCTACAAAGGGAAACTGTCTGTGCAGCTGAAGCTGGGTTAAAGGGACAAGGACGGGATGGAATCACTGCTGGAGCTGGGAAAGGCAGGTGGGGCAGGTGGGGAGTGTGTTAAAGGAGCTGGGGCGGGGATTTGGGGAGTGTCACCATGAGTGAAGGTGTGAGCACCTCGGGAGAGGAGAGGTGACATGGCAGGAGGGAGAGGAGAAGCAGAGGATGGTCACAGCAAGAGCACCCAGCTGTGAACTGCAGCCCTGCACTGGTTTTAGTGGGGAACACTTTGCTTGCATTTAAGCCTCTTTCTTCCCTGACGTACACAGAATCCTAAAGGTACTGGAACTTCCATTCCTGTGCAGCACCATCCCTCACCCTACCCAATAATCTCCTGCCCCTTAGTCCAGGAAGGGAGGGATTAGCCCACTTACCCTACAAGCTTAGCAAGGCAAGGTGTTCTAAGGGCAAAGCTGTGTCTCAGGTAGAACACCAGGGTGTAATGCTCATTATCAGCACTGCACAGGATGTTCTCTCGGGGAAAGCTTTCTTTGGGAAATTTGCAAAAAGATCTGCAATTGAGCAAGCTGAAGTGGCATTAAACCATCAAACTCTGCCTCTCCCAGCTGAGGCTGACACCAATTTGCATAATTTTGGCGCTTGGGTCATATCCTAAGAAAAAAACAGGCTCACACAAAGTCTGTCAGACTTCCTCACACCTCCCTTTGCACCAACCACAAGTTCCTCCAAGAAAATCTCAGCAGTTCTCATTTTTCACGGCAGCACTCTTACTCAGGGGCTCGAAGTGGGACAGGAAACGCCCAAAGAGGCTCTGGCAGGGGTCTGGCATGGCCAAGGTGCCAAACTCGGAGGCCACGATGCGGCTCTGCTGCCTGTTCCTCACGTAGGAGCTGCTCTGCAGGAACCTGCTCCTGTAGCTCACCCTGCCCTGGGCCACCTGGAACTGGTGCAGCAGGGCCATGCCATCAAACCAGTGGTTAAACCTTCCAGGAGAGAGCAGAAAGAGGTTAAGGAGAGTTGGGCATTGCACGGTGCTCTGGTTTAGGTTGATTGTTGTTTGTAAAAGCTGATTCTCAGATCTCCTGAATTGTTAACCAGGCACAGCTTTGTTTGGAAAACACCTGAATCAAAGAAAAGGAAAGAAAAGGAAAGAAAAGGAAAGAAAAGAAAAGGAAAGGAGAGAGAAGAGAAGAGAGGAGAAGAGAAGAGAAGAGAAGAGAAGAGAAGAGAAGAGAAGAGAAGAGAAGAGAAGAGAAGAGAAGAGAAGGAAGAGAAGAGTCAGCAAAACAAAACAAGGTAAAACACAACAAAATACAAAAAAACCAAACACAGCAAAACACAAGAAAACACAAGAAAACACAAGTGTATTTGCAGCTGTGGGATGTGATGTCTGGAAATGCTGTGTGGAAGGTTTTTTGGGTAAAACACCCACTCCTGCACAGGGAGTAGAGTTTGTGCTGTACTGTACACCAATATCAATGATTACATAAATAATTAAATATGTAATAATAAAGCAATTTAAAAAATAATATATTAAATTTATATAGTATAAATATAAAATATTTTCTTAATATATTATTGCTATTAATATATAATAATATATTAGATTTTTTTTAATATGTAAAAATAAATAAATAAACAAACAAATAAATAAATATAGAAATGATTACTGCAAACCCAGAGGCCTTTAGCTCTCTGCTTCTTGCAGGATGTTATTGTCTCCAAACCAAGGGATTTGTGAGACTCCCAGAACACCTGAGGGGACTCTGGAACTCTAACTGGGAATATGAGAAGGAGATCAGCTTTGGCCAGTTGCTGCCATCAGTTTCATTGTCAGTACCAGGATGGCACATCCCAAGCCACAGGGAGTAAATGTGCCTGGGAAGATTTGAATACATTATTTGTAAAACTGGGTGGCTTTGCTTCCAAAGCAGCTCACACCATTTGGTGCAACCAGCTCTCCAAATTCCTGCCCTGGATTTCAGAGTGCTCAGGGATGGATTTTTTTGTTGAAGACAAAGGACCAAAGCTGAGGATGTTTTATTCCCCATCCCAGCACGGTGAGTGGCTCAGAGCCTCTCTGTGACTCAGTTTCTCCAGCCTGGGTGGCTTCACCACTCAGCTCCTCTTTGCAGGAAATGGGAGTTCCCAAATGAGGGAGCAACTGCTCTCAAAAGAGTGACATCGATATTTCCTCCTTCCCTTTCATGACAAGAAACTAAACAATGCTCAAAATAGTGATGAGGGGAGCCCCTTTTAGGTTTAGGCAGAGTTTGGGGCAGAACCATTTAAAAATTCATTTTAAAGGAGACTTACTTGTCATTGCCAAACTCGAACTTGCCAGGGCCATTCCTCAGCAGATTTCCATTAATCCATTTGGGGATGTGTCCCTTGATCTTGGCTGGGATGGGCTCGGGGGTCTCCTCCACGCTCTGCACTAAGGGGGAGATGCATTGCAGCCCCTTGGGTCTGTGGCACAGGATTTGCTCCTTGGCTGGGCTGGGCAGGTAATTCTTGAAACCTGCAAAGGGAGCAGGGAGAACAAAAAGCAGGGGATTGAGATTATCACTGGAATAAAGTGACAAATGCCAGCTCTTGAGATTGGATGTCAGGGAGAAGAGAATTCAGCATCTGCAAGCAGCCAAGTTGTGATGGATACTCAAAGTAAATCCACAAAACCCACAGGGAGCCGAAAATCCTGTGGATTTTACTCTGCTCTAGTTAATCCACAAGAGCCACTAGTTCTGTAGCCCAAAGGAGGTAGGATCATAGACAAGATGATACGTTTTCTTTTAATCAAAGTAATGAATATTTGATTTCATAAATAGCTGAGAAAAGAAAAAAAAATAACTGCAATCCTAAAAAAAAATGGAAGAACACAAATGAAACCGAGCTGAAGTCCATTTGCAGGACGAAACAGATTAACAAGTTTGATTTGGCAGGGAAATAAGCAGAGAAGGACAATTCTTGATGGAGTCCGGTTTGTCTGAACCCCTTCCCAGTTCGTGCTGGAGAACAAAAGGCCCAGGAGAGCGTGAAGTGATCGGAATGTCGTGAGCTGCCAGTGATGTCAGTGATTGGCTCCCACAGCCTGGTTTGCAAAGCCTCATCAACACGAGGATTGTTTTAGCAATCCATTTAGCTGCAGAGGTGGATTTAGCCAGGGGTGCCTCCCTGGCCGGGCTGGCACCTGCCCATCCTGCCCGCTCTGCTGCTGAACCAGCCTGCGGCTGCTGAGCACTGAGGTGGGAGCAAAACTCCCATCAAAAAGGGCACATGGCAGGCAGAACTCCATCACCCGGGGCCGGTGCACACACCACACACTGAATGGAGTCCAGGCTGGTACTGAATTCACTCTGAATTTCTGTTCTTTCACCACTGCTTCTGGCCTACAGCCTTTAATCCAGGTGACCAAAGTGTAGCTGCTGACCAATTTCCCTCCTCCGCAATCCTTTACTCAACACCTCCAGAGGAAATTCATCATTTCAGCGAGAATATCTGCAAAAGAGCTGAGGTGGCAGGCAGGATTCTTCTGAGCTCGTTTCTCTCCACAAAAACGCCCACAGGTTGCATGTTGGATTGCAGGAAGGTAAAATGCAAGATTCCAATCTAGCTCTCCAATCTGCCCATCCCCAAATCCTCCCTTAGATCTCGGAAGTGTTTGCAGAAGTGCAGATTTGGTTTAAGAAGGTGCAAAATATGCTCTATGGAATGAGAGGAGCACATCTGTAAGGAGATATTTTGCATCCAAGCAGAAACAAAGCTGGCATGACTCAGGACAGCACCACATCCAAACTTCCTGGAGAACACGGTAAATGGAAATTTTGGAAAGATGCATTCCACAAAAGAGCCTGATCAGGGCTGGAAAAGACCTCCTGAGTCCACCCCTCCCAACTGCTGTTCCAGAAATTCTTACATAAGAACTTTTGTCTTAAAAATTATTATGTCTACAGGCATTTGTTCCCTCTTTGGATAACAGCTCCTTGTCTGGATGATCAGGAAATGCTTTGAATTAACCAAAAGATGTTATTCTTGGTTTTCTGGCAGCTCTACTGTGTGGTTTTGGTAGTTTTTCCCTTCCTTGTGTTGTTTTTAGGGTGAAGAATCATATCACTTCCTAAGCTAAGTAAGCCAAGTTCTTTTTGTTGTCCTTGTCCTGTGAGAACCATTCACGTGATCATCTCAGTAATCCTTCTTGAAATCTGATCTAGTTAGAACTCATCTCCTTAGAATTCATTCCAAGGTATTCCCTACAAAGTGGACTTTCTATAGAACAGACTATAAACAACAAGAATACTTAAGGGAATGCCCCAAACCCAGGCTAGAGAGGGAGAAGGAAGCACAGGAAGAGAATGTGGGCATCACTCAAATGAGCTGAAAATCCTGGTAGAAATGAGTGCAACATGACAGCAAATCCAAACACCCAGATGAGCCAAAACAGAAACTTTCAGAAACAAGACAAGTCATTGCAGACAATTCTGAATAGCTAGGAGGAGGGAAGAAAAAAAAGTCCTACATATCTTCCCTCTTAAGCAAAAACAGATTTGAATTATGACTGTCATCTTTAACATATCTTTGACTTTATCTCTGAATGCACTGAGGATATGGAATGCAGAACACTGCCCCCCAACTCAATATTCTTGAGTAATTGCAAAAATTTGTTTCACCTTCAGGGGAAAGATCAGTCATAAATTAAAACTCTTTGCAACATCCGGCTCCCAAGAAGGGACCAATCTCTCTCTGAAGAAGGCAGAAGACAGATTGGTTTTTAATATTAAATGAGATGTAAATAAAATTACTCTCTCTGTTCTGGCCACACTCTGAGATGGAAGAACTTGAATCCACAATTAAAGCCCTACAGTCCCAGTGGGGGTCTCTGTGTGTGCTTGAATATCTGAAAATCAGCACCTGCCCCCTCAGAACCCTCATTTCTCCACCTTATTTTCCATCCTACCTCAGGCTTTTGAGAACAAGTTTAAGGTCTTCGACATGTCTGAGCAGAGGCAGTGCCAAACACGGAGCTGTAACTTTCCACCACTCTTTTCTGAGCAGAGCAGGCAACCACTGGGCGCCACTTTTTTCAACTCCCGTTTCCCTGCAGTGTGCCGAGATTTCACTGCCCAGCATTGATAATTTATTGCACTCACCATGAATCAGACATTAAATTGTATTTCAATACAGTGGATGAGACATGAAATCTGTAATGGTGGATGGCAGAATTGGGATCACATAGGAGAGGGAAAAGCCATTTTGATTTTAACCTACAACTTCAAACCCAAGGCTCAGGAACCACCTCTCCACGCACAGTCTAATTGTTTGACTCAGAAGGACATGCAGGATTAAGGACAAAAATAGAATTCTCATTATATTCGTCTAATAGAGAGAACGAGGCAAGAATTCAGTTTTCCCGGAGGATCATCCAAACTGTGAATAATCCTCTGCCACGGGCTGTATTTGTTCCCTATAAAACAGTCTGGCACAACACAGAAGCAAAGCAGTTTTCCCTGACCCCAGCCCGAACTGCAGCTGTGGATTTGTGCCCTCCAATCTTGCCCAGGGCTGGAGCCAGAGCTCCCGCAGGGATTTCCCAAGGGAAGGGACAGCACTTGCCTTGGGAGTGCCGGGAAGTGCCCGTGCTGGGCTCCTTGCTCCATGCAGCTGCTTGGTTCCCCATGGCCAGGGGCTCAGGCACCCAATTCCTCGCTAACAGCCGGAGGAGCAAAGAAAAACACAAAAGAAACGACAGAAAACACAGGGGGAAAAATAAATGGAGAAAAAGAGCAGGAGAAGGCTCAAAGGGAGGAAAGGAGAAAGGGGACAGTGAACCCCGGTACATGAAATAGATGTTGATTACCCAGCAGAAATAGAATCTACACTTTGGGGTCTTCTGGTGGCACAACAAGGCAGATTTGAGATTTTTTTTTTTTTCAGCTCTTTGGATACCTCGGAAGCAATGCTTTAAAATTTAAAGGACACAAAAACACTACCACCATCAAAAAGCAGGGATTCCCCTGAGGTCAGCCATGATGCTTACTGGTTCAAAATTTCTGAAAACAGGCAAGCACATAAACTAAACAAAGAAACGAGAAAAACAACCAAAAAGCAGCTCAAGCTGTGCAATGATGACACAAAGTGCGGGGTCGGGCTGTGATACAAAATCCTTTGGGGCAGTTCACTTGCACGTTCGGGTTAAAGCCCCGGCAAGGATGCAGCTCCAAGGAATCCTCTCCCTGCCCGCTTCCAGCTGGCTCCCTCGCACAGAGAATCTGCTGTGTGCTGCTTTTCCAGCTCTAGACCATCTGTATCTGCCCTAATCCTCGCGTCTGCCGTTTATCTATTCAACAAATTACGGACATTTTTCGCCATCTAACAAAGCCTTCAAATCGCTCAGTCGCGAATTCCCGACAATCGGAATTGTGCGAGCAGCAGCCCCTTTGCGAGGGGATGGGATGGAAGGGATCGTTTTTAACGCGTTTTACCTGGAATGAATTGCATCAGAGAGCAGAGGAAACGCAGCAGGTGAGCGAGCAGGAGGCTGGCGGCGGACAAAAGGATTTTGGCGAACATATTCCGGCGGGCAGAAGGCATGGGCTGGCAGCGGCCGGGAGGAGGTAGCGGTGCCAGGGCAGCGAGCAGGGCAGGAGGCAGCGATGGTCGGGAGAGGTGAGCGCTGCCTCTCATCATCCTTTCACAATAAGAGCCGAGCCCGCAGCAGCGCCGTGCCCGCCGTGCCCGCGGGATCCGGGCGGCTCCTGCCGCCAAAGCCTCCGTGCACCTGGCACAGGTGAGCTGAGACTGCCGGGGCACTGCGCGCCTGGGGAAAGGCTCCGTGCAGCGCTCGGTGCTGGCCGCAATAGGATGGATAGGTGAGGATGGGATGTGGATGTGTGTGTCAGAGCAGCCAGCCTTCCAGCCTTCGAAAATTCCCGTCGCCTCCCCTTCGCGTTCTCCTCCCAAAAATACTTGCCATGCAAAAGTTGTGTTTCAAAACCTGGCGAGCTATTTTGCACCTGAATGAATCTCGGGGTTTCGGGAATATTTCGGTGGCCACGCCGAAGCCAGCAGGATGGGCCGCGCTCTGCTGAGCTGGACCTAGGGCAGACCCCTCCCTTCGGGATGCCAGGAGCGCTTTGGATTTGTGATGGAACATTTCTTCCATGTCACTAAGCAGCTCTTAAAAGCTGTGCCGTGCCTGCAGAGGGAGCAGGGCAGCAGGCACAGCACTCCAGGGACCCCATTCCACAGACACATTAATTCTCATCTGAAACCTGCTGCCAATTAAGCTGATTTCTTCCTGTCCATCCTGCATTTCTAAAACTCCTCTCTCATTATGCCCTGCCTTGAGTTGGGCTTTCTCTCAACAAACCCAACCTTTTCCCACAGATATCTTTGCTGGTTTCCAGAAATCCTGATTTCCACTCAACCCTTCATCTTCTTCAGATTACAATGAATTTTTAATGTATGTTATTGATGCACTTGTGACTCCTAGTTTGCTGCTCTTTAAAAAATAGATTATATCCTCTAAAACACGTTTTCTAAATCATTTGGGGTAATGTGGAATAAGCCAAGCTGGAAGGAGATCACTATACAATACCCCATAGGCTGATCTATGAGGGGGAATAAGAGTATTCATTGACTTTTTAACTTACTTGTTTGCTGATTGCTCTTATTTTCTATATTATCATACAATGGTGTCAATGACCTTACACCAAACTGTACCCACTTGTAATTTTTTCCATATTAAGCCAGCTATTCTCATAAAGGATTTTTTTTTATTTTTTATTTACTGTTATCCAAGTCATAGTTAAGAAATTTCTGCCAGACTCTCTCCAGGATGGGATTTAGGCTGACTGAGCTATGGATCTTTGCCCTCCTTTTTTTCCTGGCTGTTTCCCTGATGGTGCAAAATGCCCACTCTGTTCTCTTCCAGTGCCACCTTCAAAGAAAATTCAAAGGTCAAACATTCTGCCATGAGCAAAATTGAATTTTGATTAGTTCTGGACAGAATGTCCTGAGCCTAAAACACCTCTATTCAATACTAGATTTGGTCTTCTTCTATTCTGACCCACATTTATGCTTAAAGGCAGTTTCATTTTAAGCAAACAGTCAAAATTAACCTTTCTCAGGAAAGAATTCTCATCACTGATTATCTAAACTCTCTGTATTATGTTTTTTTCCCATTTTTATCTTTTAGATAAGAGCAATGAGAGGAGGTGAGTTTTTCATGAATTACACTTTCCAGCCTGTGAAGAAGTTCACAGCAAGCTCAGAAATGCAAAGCTCGGTCAAGATCCCCTTGACTCTAAAAGGGTCGGGACTTCTTCTAAGGTGCTTCCAGATTTTAAATAAAAATCCATTTATATTCTGTTACTGATCTGTCATCTTAGACGTCCTTGTTAATTTATAGGCTGGAGCTTAAACGAGGAGGGGAGAAGCTTAAAAGAAAACGTAGTTACCAGCTGAGCTTTGCTGATCAGATTTAGCAGCTTTAAAGCCAATTAATTTTCTGTGCAGTAAAACTGGGAAGCGGATAGGGATGGGATGGGTGCCAGGGGGGTGCCAGGAGGAGCTCACACCTCAGGGAGGGCCTGAAGGAGCCTTCAGTGTCAGATCCGAAGGGAAAACTTTTGTTTCTCCCAATGAAATCCATCAGAGGGGCCATCAGCAGCATCAGTCACAGGGTGGATGAGTTGTAGTCAAACAGCAAAGTGATAAACTTTTATTTTTAATGGTTTGGAAAGAAAATAGTGTGTTATGACTGTGTCCATATATTAAAATACTGAGTGGAGCACTAAAGAGCAGCCAGCAGCAAAGTGCTCTGTATTTCAGCACAAGAATTATGGAAAGCTCCCTTTAAACAGGGAGAGATAAATGTATGATGAATATATTTCCATTGCTGAAATATTATTTAACTTCACAAGAGGAGAGGCTGGCTTATTTTCAATGGATGTTTCAAACTTTCTGAACTCACCATTTGAAGCCTAAACTCTATAAAATAGATATTTAATTAATTTTACTTATTTTATATATATATCTTCACTTATACTCATGCAGCAAAACCAGAAGCTGTGTTGCTCTGGTTTTAAATCTAAATCCAAATCTTTAAATATTCATATCTAAACATAAATATTTAATTAATTTTACTTAGTTTATTTATATATCTATATCTTCGCCTATATTTGTGCAGCAAACCCAGCTGTGTTGCTCTTAGTAATTTAAAAAAATTAATAATTATAACTACACTGTTATAAGTTACTGTGGCCATACTCACTGACTTTACCTTCAATATCTTCTCAAATTCTAAATTCCCCTTATTATCCCAGAGATCTCAATCTATTAAATGTTATTAGTTGTAACGACAACCAATTGTATAAGAAATCACTAAAACCAAGAGTCATCATTCTGAAAATATATCTTGGATTGAAATGCAGTCCCTCATGGATTTAAAAAGTGGAGTTTTACTCATTTTTGTTGGATTTTATGAAGTTTTTAAATGGAGCAAACTGCTGCAACAGGAACACTCGATCCCCTAAGAGAAAAAACTTATGAAATGATTGTATCCCAAAATCTAAGTTCTGACATTTAATAACAGTTGGATATATTGGCCACATACACTAAATCAGGATAATCCAAATCCAGATGATCTAAAAAGGCTGCAAGATTTCTTCAAGCACAAACAGCTAAAATTCATTAACAGGCAGATGTTGCTCAGTCACTCAATCTGCGTAACTTTTCTTTATTATTCATAAATAACTGTGGTTAAATGTCTGAGTTCAGGCCCTTGGTGGATGTCATTATGAAACTCTGGGTTGTGTCATCACTTACAGACGGGATTTTACAAACACCCAGCACAACATTTTAGAAAATATCACTTCCTAAATCTTCTCCTTTTCTCCCATGTTTCTCTGTATAAACAGAGAAGCGTGAGAATATCAGGGACAAAACAGGAGGCTGCAAAATATGATGGCAGAGCAGTGGTGAGACTTTGGAAAGCCTTAGGATGTTAAAGATGCAGATAGGCACCTTATGGGATTTTCCAAAATTCCTAAGCGTGTAAGGCGCTTACACCATGCTTAGGCACTTTGAAAATCCTGCTAAGGACATATCTGCATCTTTAGGGATCTAAATCTCGCCCTACATGTCCAGTTCCTCTCATTCTTTGCTTTAAATCATGTCGCTGTGACACGTAGCACATTGGGCTTGGAGCTCAGGAAAGGGGGAAAGGAGGCTGGATTAGGTCTGAGAGGATTTAAAGAGGAAATCTGCACACTACTGGGGTAAAGATGGAAATATATCTTGTTTCCAGCACTTCTCTTTATTGCATAAGCCCCACGCGTTGTACAAGTGATGCTTTGTACATTGTGTTTCATTATTTTTTTTTTTTTTTAAACAGAGTCAAATGACAAGAAAGAAAAAGGGCTCAGTGTCCTCGGAAAAACTGAGCATCAGCAAACAGCACCCATGTAGCCAGGTAACAAAATAACACTGTAATTCTAGATCATGTTAACTTTATCTAGTTATTTATTGATATCAACAGCAAAGCTTTGATTATGGTTTATATCAACAGGGCCTTGAAATCTAACACATATACCAGTATGACAATGCATTTCAAATTAAGATTTTACACTTTCTCAAAGTTCTTTATAGAACCCTCTTATTTCTATGCTGATCTTTTCAGCCTGTTTACATTCTGAGGCAAAATGGAAATAACATTGCAAATGTATTCTACTAAGATTTTAGCACAAAAGTATTTTTTAAAGTTGAAATGAAAAAAAAAACCATAACCAGAAAATGGTTAACATTAAATAATCTGAGGTAATTTTCTACTTACATCATAAATTTCTCTTTCACAGAATTTATTTTTTTTGCTATGTTTAATGGGTTAACATGGCTTAATGTCTTAATCCCTTGAGTCACAGGATTTAAAACAGATATTCAGAACAGTTTTTACTAACTACACTATGTATCTAAACACTGAGGAGCTGCTTAACTTGTTGGAAGTTTCCCAAAACTGACAAATATTTATACAAAAAACAGACATCACAACACTCATCAGAGTTTGTGTTCATACACAAACACAGCTTTGGCTCTGCATTTCTATAACAAACTCCATTTAGCTTTGCAGAGTGTTAGCAATGACAGTGAATCTCTGTTTCAGCATCTCCCTCTTCTGCTTTAAGTGGTTTTCTATGGCCTTGGCTTCTTTTAAGATCTCATCAAGTTCCTGGACATAAGAAGAATCCAACGCTGTTCTTGTACTAAAGTGAAGAAAGCCATAGGTAAAATGCCAACGTAATCAATGCTAATGTCATTTACTTTCTCACTACTTTCATGTTTTTCTTAAAAATGAGTTGTCTATCAATACCCAGTTTCTAAATTAATCCTCTGTTTTAATAAAAACCAGCATTTTTCTTTCAAGGTGTGTGTTTGACAGTTTTTAGTGTTAATTTCTCTAAACTGCAGCCACCCATCCATCTTATCTAGAGAATTTTAAAATTGCTGTGCAAATAGCAGAAAGTTTACTTGCCTTATAATGTTGGCATATTTTGATAACAAGTTAGTAATTTCTTTGCTCGTCTCTGTTAAGAAAAAAAATAATTTTATTTAAACATTTGGCTGAATCTCAACATGAAATTAGGTCATTCCATACTTACATTATATTTACAGCACCATTTAAAACCTTTTCCAGTGGTTCAGTCTTGGAAAGGGACTGCGAGTCCTCAGAAGGAGCCAAGTCTGTTTTGTCAGACAACTGAGGATTTTCTGAAGCTTCAGTCTAACAGCAGAACAGATTAGGAAAAAATACAGGTTCTAGGATTTAAAAGAAGCTTTGCACAGAGTTTAGCTGAGAGAAAGAAGAGGTTTACAAAGATCTTGAGGGTGTTTTTGGAGGAAATGCAAGTGGGATCACAGCATCGTGAGCATCTTGGGGAGTGGGTGGCAAGTGCTAGATTGAGATCTCTGTACACATCCACATTTATTTAGATACACATGCACTTATTTATATCTATATACTGATATATGTAGTATATCTGTAGATATATGAAATATATATATATATATATATCAGTAAAAGCTGGTGGACTTCAGCTCGCTCTCAAGAAGTTCTACATAAATACATCCCAGTGCTTACTCAGTTTGGTTGGGCTTCAAGCCCTCTGAGAAACTGCACTTTCTCCTCACAAAAAAAAAGTCATTTCTGTTTCCCCAGAGCTCCCTGAAGTGCCGTGGATGTCTGTACTTTCAGAGGACATGGGATGGGGGGGTTCTCCGCCCCACAGCACCGCTCACCTCCATCGCTTTGTTTTTATTTCTGTCCTGATGCGCTGTTTGCGAGCCGCTCGCCGTGGCCGCCGCACGGAAAGCACGCGGTGTTTGCTGAGCGGTCACTGGGGCCACTGAGCGGCTGGGGACAAGGTTGGAATAAAAAAAACCTTTCAAAGCTGCAGCTCCTTCCTCAAGGGGCTCTCCCTCCTCAAGGGGCTCTCCCTCCTCAAGGGGCTCTCCTCACGGGGCAGGCAGCGCCTCAAAGGGCCGGAGACGGCGGGGGAATGGCGGGGAGCCCCGGGCCGGCCTGAATTCCATATCCGAGGGGATTTATCCCTTCCTCATCCCCCTTTAACCATTCTTCATCCCCCTTTATCCCTTCCTCACCCCGCTTTAACCGTTCCTCACCCCCCCTTATCCTCTGTGATCCCCCCAGAGCCTGAGGGCACCGAGGGGTCCAGCACGGACCCCCGGCCTCCCCTTCAGGAGGGCGGGCAGGATGAGGGACCGCGCCCGTGGGGACAAGGGAAAATTGACAAGGGACGAGAAATAAGGGAATAAACAACAAAGGACAAGGGATAAGGGATGAGAAATAAGGGACCCCGGCTGCCCTGAGGGCTGGCAGCTCCCTCGGAGCCCTACCCGCCAGGAGCGGCCCGCGGTGCCCCCTGAGGGCCCGGGCAGCGGCTCCGGCCGGGGCCGATCTGTTCATTCATTAATTAAAAATTCACACAGTTCCCCAAACATTCTCCGTCAAATTTCACTTTCTTTGGAAGGCGTTTCATGTTGGATGGAGCTGCCTCAAAACGCGAGGCAGAAATGAGCGCAGTCGGAGACCGCGCCCTAAAATGAGTAACGCCACTGAAATGAGTAACAGATTAAAATGGGTAAATAACGCTGAAATGCATAACAATGCTGAAATGCATAAAAACACTAAAATTAGCAACACTAAAATGAGTAATAACGCTAAAATGCTTAACACTGAAATGCATAAAAACACTAAAATGAGTGTGACACCACCACAACACACGATTGCAAAGACCATTTTTTTTCCCTCTCTCTCTAAAGAATGGAGAATAAAACTCTGTTTTCTCGAGGTTGTGTTTCACTTCTGGGGACAATTTTGTGTCACCAAAAAGTGACGGAGTCACCGAGCAGCTCCTCTGCAAGAGGAACGAACAGGACTCAACAATTCAGGAGAAAATTTTCGGCATTCAAAGAGATTAAACAGCACAGCAAGTCATAAATCATGTTGTTGTTCACCACAGTGAAATAAATCATTGCTAGATCTGGATTTATGTTAATGTTATGCCTTATTGTGTAATTTACATTATGGTGTGCTATTTTACATATCTTATTATAAGTTATGGTATGTGGCGTTACATAACATCTTGGGGGGTGTTTTCCCTTTAAAAAAAAAAATAAATTTTCTCTCTATCTTCCATTTTGAAAAGAAAGGACCTGAATCTCACATACATCATCCTAGTAGGAAATTAAAATACCAGCATGTGAAATCAAACTACTGAAAGAAGAAGAACTAAATACTTCCTCAAAATAGAAACAACTTTTACTAAGCTGCCATAGTCCACTTCATTTAATTATCAAATATTTCATAGATAATTATGTTATTAGCATTACTGTCTAAACATTAAGAAACAGGACATGTTAGGAAAATGTCCTTAATGTGGTTACTTAATTGTGCCACCATTAATAGGTTTTATTAACAGACCACCTGAAGTAAAACAAATTAAACACCTGAATTTTCATTTCCATTATCTAATGGATATGATAGTTTATGAATAAAACTCAGACCAAAAATAACATTAAAAGAAAATTATCTAAGGGGATAGAGTTCACTCTTAGTGGAGTTCCAACTCCTTTAAAATTTGAGCAAAATTATCTAAGCCATTACTCTAAAAGTAGTTGCAGTTCCTCTAAGATTGGAGATATTAAATTCCAGGAGAAATGAAAGTTTAAACTGTACCACAAAAGCTATTGTATGAGTTAGATCTGCTTCTGAAAAATGCAAATATTTGAACAACAGAGAAGGAAATGCCTTTTATTCAATGTGGTCAATGAACTAATTGAATTTTAAGGCTCAAAGGCTGACATGAAAGCTCAAATCTTTCTTCCTGATAGCTTTTTATGGAATATCAATAGGCCAAAAATATTAGTGCCAACAGCTAATACAAAGTAAATAACGATCTGAATGCATATTTAAACTTAATTGAAAAATTATTAGTACAGCATTAATTTTTGAAAAATATTTTTGGCTAAACCAGCCAAAATCCAGGGTTATTAGTAAGAGAGGCAGTGTTTTTATTTCAAATAAAGTTGAAAGATGAGCTTTTAACCTCAAAATCACCTCCTCATGTTTATCATGCAGATATTAAATCATTCCCTATGAACTTTGGGTGGTTTTTTTTACCTCCAAGAACAGCAAAGGGCATGTGAACAGCTGAGAGAATGCCCTGGGGACTTGGGTTTGGGTTTGGGTTTGGGTTTGATGTGCGGATTTGGGGCTTTTTTATCATCCTCACAACCTGCGGCTCTTCAATTTACCCACCAAGCCACAGGGCTGAGAGGCTGAACCAGCACTAGAAACAGCAAATCCAAGCATGGAGGTGTAACAAATTGGGAGATTATTCATTCCCGAGCTCGCTGCCTGTGGATGTGGTAAATGTAACTGAGACTGACAGTACTGCAGATTTAATCAACATATGCAGCTCGATAACGAGCCCTTGGCAAGGGCAAACAGAGCCCTGGAGATTGCAAGGAGATTGGATCAATTGTGGCTGAGGGGAAATAAGATTTTACTAAGCAGAAATGTAAAGTTTGCCTGCGTGATGTTTAACTAGAGGATTGTAGTAAAATATTACTCGCCTTCCTGAAATGGTATATAAGCACATGTAGCTCTCAGTAAAAACTGGATTCTGATCACCATGCAGTAATCCCCGTCTCTCTCTCATCGTCGATAGCTGCCCTAGATTTCAGGGAGTGTCCCGTCCCTGCAGCTCCAGTTTGGTGCTTTCAACACCTCCCAAGGCAGTGCGGGATGCAGGGACGGGGCGTGACCCCAGAACCGGAGCCGAACTCCTCCCACGCAGCCGCTCCTGTTCCGAGGCTGGCACGGGAGATTCCCGAGCGCACGGCGGCATTCCCGGGCACTGCTGCCACCGAGCACCAGCAGAGCCTTGACTGCCATCCCAAAGCCAAGGAGCCGGCAGGGAGGAGCCTGACGGGCACGGGCAGCACCTGCCTCAAAGCTGCCGTCTCATCTTGGCTGGAGAAGCTGCTGGAGCAACAGGACGAGCCCGCTGACATCAGCGCGACACCGAGCGGCACGAAGGCACCCTCGTAACCCCAGATTTGCATAGGCTCCTGCAGCGAGGAGGGGAAATGCCGAGTGAGAAATGCGGACGTAGGCAGAGACCTTGGGAAAGCGTCCACATTTTGGCCGCTATAAAACCTCCCCCGGCAGCGCCTGGCAGCGCTCGCTTCCCTCCGGCTGGGGCATCCCCGGCGGCCGCGGGGCTCTCACCCGGCACAGCTCCCATCCTGACCCGGGACACAGCTCCCATCCTGACCCGGGCTATATCGGCACAGCTCCTATCCTGACCCGGGACACAGCTCCCATCCTGACCCGGGCTATATCGGCACAGCTCCGATCCTGACCCGGGCAGCACCGCAGATGCGCTTCTCCCGGCTCCCATCGCCCGGCTGCAGCTCCTGAAGAGCCAGAGAAGAGCACCGAGAGCCAGAAAGGAGCACCGAGAGCCAAAACGGACACCGAGAGCCAGAACAGACACCGAGAGCCAGAAAGATCCGTGAGTCACCTCTGCTCCCGCCTCGCATCCTGTGCTTCTCCTGGCTCCCATCGCCCGGCTGCAGCTCTCGCAGAGCCAGAAAGGACTCCCGAAAAGCCAGAAAGGACACCGAGAGTCATAAAGAACACCGAGAACCAGAAAGAACACCGAAAGCCACCTCTGTTCCCTCCCCGCATTCCCTGCGGTTGCTCAAGGTGAGTCATTCCACGCCCGACTATTAGAAGCACCTTAGATCTTCTACTCTTCCTTTCAAAGGTCCTCGGTAAAAGGTCTAAATAATCACCTTTTACCACATAAGGTTGGGCTTGATGATCCTGGAGGTCTTTTCCAAGCTTTTTGATTCTGTGGTCAAGGGAAGAACACAGGCATTTTGTTATACCTATTAAACCAAGGGCCACTTTTTCCTTTAATCCTCTGTCAAAAGTCTTGCCCGTGCTTGCCCCTGGGCTTTAGAAGAGCAGAGGACTTTGTGGTTAATGTGCTAAGAACAAGACTCGCAGGGTTGGGTGTTGTGATATCTTGTTTTCAGGGCCTAGATGTGTATATTTGCAAACAAAGATGCTGCTGGGAGCCTGCCGTCTCTTCTGCACAGCTGCAACTAGATAAAAAACATATGAAATACAAATAGAAAGAGTAAAAATCACTCTCAAATACAGTCCTCAAAGTGCTCTGCTAGAGGGACAAAGGAAAACATGGTGACTCCCCATCCTAATCCCTCTGGGTGTGCGTGTTTGCTTACTTTGATATTGCTCAATTTTGTATAAAAAGTCATTTTCAGCTGGCGAAAAAGCTTTGGAGTGATCTGGGTATTTTGATTGCACAATCAAATCCCAGTGCAAGAGCCAAATCTCCCCATTGTTCACCTGGTTTTAAGACATTTATTATCTTTAGTGCAAGGGATGACCTTTCTAGGAGCAGTCAGAATGGGTTCTAATTTTGGGATATTTTTGGATATTTTGGAAGCTCATGCTTTTCTAGGGGGAACCTGTAAGATCAGTCTGTGCAGACTGAACATTTCTCCCTTTATGGGGTAAGAAGCATCGAGCTGAACTCTGATTCCTCTCCCTGTGCTGTGGGCAGGGTGAAGATGAATGCTGAAGAGATTCTGGTGCATGCAGTAGAACTTGGAGAAAATTTCTGCCTCTATTTTGACGGTAATAAGAACATTTAATAACCTTTTCTGTTTGAATATTGATTTAATACAATTCCTTTATCAGTCTGATTTCACCTAACTTTCCCATAAACTTCAGTTTTAAGTGCTTGTTAGCCAAGCATCTGAGTCAGAGGAATATTTGCAGCTTATACAAAAAATTCTGGGAAAGGGACATTTAGAAGCATTGGAATAGTGGGGAGTGGACCTGGAGTGAATGAGTCACTTCCGATCTTATAGAAAAAAGTCAGTTAGAAAACAGTCTCTTCTTTAAAAGCAATTTGTGATGAGTTCTTCTTGTCCTTTTGCCCACTTAAAGGCACCGATAAAACCAAAAAATTTGCATGTAGTTATTCCTCAGTTTTCGGCTTAGAGTGACGTTCTCACCCTTTTAAATAACCCTAAACAAGCATTTTGTGTGCCTCTGGTTTGGTGGTGACTCCAGTTCTCAGATGACTGGGTTTTTATTTGTTTTGCTCCAGATAAACCGTGTCTGTAGTGACAGCAGCTCAGCCTTGGTGGCACTGGGCTCTGGGAACACGTAGGTGGCTGCCGGGGCACAAAGTCACTTCTTTTGTGGGGGCAGAGCCTAATGTTGTTTTTCTTTCCTTTTTTTCACTGCTCACTTGGAACCAAGACGACGATGGTAAGCTGAGAACTCATCTTTTATGACTTTGTTACTCATTTCACACTACTAATTCAGAGAGGACAAGTTACAAACCGAGAGTAGCTGAAAAAGAAAACAAAAAAACCAAACCAGAGCTACAGCTCACTGCTCCTTCTGATGCTGATTTTGCTTTAATTCCTCATAAGGCACAGGGTAGTGGCTTCCCTGACAGCACCTTTCAATGCTCTTTAATTGCTGGGCAAAAGAGAACTGATGCTTCTGAATTTTCATTAACAAACGCAGCAGCTTTTCTTGCTTATATAAATAAACTTCTGTATTCTGGGAAACCTGCTTCAAGCAGAGGTGTAAAAGATCATGTGGCCTTCCTTTTGTTTGATGTTATTCTAAGAACTCCTTTCACGTGACACGCCAGGATTAAACTGACCGCAAACTGTTAAGATCTGAGAAGACAACAGCTAAAACATGAATATTTTTGCTTTCTCATTCCTGCAGAGCTGGAGTGTGATGCCCTGTGCAAGGAGAAGATCCTGCACCGAGTGCTGAGGAATGTGAACAGCCAGCTGCTCGTGGTGCGCCCCGACCTGAACGTGGCAGCCTTTGAGGATGTGACAGACCAGGAGATGCAATCTGGTAATTTCCAAACACAAACTATCACCACTGCTCTGCTGCTCCATCCTGGAGGTGGTTTTGTCCTTTGTAATCATCCACTCAATGGTGGCACAGAGAATAACAACTTAAAACTTCATTTGCAAGAATGAAACTAAGCTGAGAGCGAAATTTTGTGTTTTGGGCATTGGTGATGGGAGAGATTTCTGGGTGAGACCAAAGCCTGCAGGATGTCACGTGCAGAAAAAGGGCTGTTAAGATTTTTGCTTGGCTCTGATCACAAAATTCTTAATTCCCCTTTTTAAATGCTGGATTACAAAAAATCATTTAAAAATTTAAATAATGCATTAGCACTAAAAGGTCTTACTTTCTTCTAATAATACTAGCTATAAACTTACAGTTTTGGCTTTGGCTTTTTGGGGTACTTCAGCAATTTATTTACAACTAACTCTGTTAATTGACCATATTTATTTCTGGATCACCTATATCCAGCCATGCTCTGATTTACAGACAGCCACTTGCACATGCCAGTCTCACTTTCTGCAGGCACACAAAAGGATGTGACCTCTCCCCAAACTGCCCGGTGACTTCAGCTGCTTTTGTGCTCAGCAAAGCACAACCAGAAGCCATAAAAATTCAAGTTCTGGCTTTTGTCAGGAAAAAATATTCTGGCAAGACAGCCAGAATTGCCAAGGGATGGTAAAGCATCACTGAATTCAGTTGTTGCAGCTGCCCTTGAGCAGGTTATCAATAATAATCCATTTATTTCCAGGCAAAGGGATGCATTTCAGCATTCACTGCTACAAAACCACCACACCCTTAGAAGGGTTGCCCGTGGCTTTCAGCCTCCAAGTGGAAAACAAAAGTTATTACATGTGTTGTGAGAAGGAATGTGGAAAAATGATCATTAGATTCAAGGTAAGGATCTGCTTCCCTCTCCTCATCTGTACAAATCCAACAGGCAGAATGAACAACTCAGAGCTGGAATAAAACTGCTCAGGGCTTGTGCTGGGATGAACCTGTTCCCTTTTTCCTTCCTCAGGAAGGAGAAGTTCCCAAAGAAATTCCTGGTGAAAGCAACATCATCTTTTTCAAAAAGACATTTACATCTTGCTGCTCCAAAGCATTTAAGTTTGAATACTCAATGGAACAAGGGATGTTCTTGGCCTTTGAGGAAGAAGGCTGCTTGAGAAAATTAATCCTAAAGAAAGTGCCAAAAGATGAAGTGGATGAAACCATGAAGATGGAGGTTATCTCAGATCAGCGAGAATGAAAAGCACAACCTATGATGGAACACTTCAACAGTTTAAAAATACAGGGTTTTTTTTAATAAAAGAAACTTTCGTCTTTCTTTATTCAAAACAAGTCAGTTTTATCCTTTAACTACTGTCAGTACTTATTTAAAAAATAAATGCAAGTTCTTGGCAAAAAAGCCAAGAATGTTTTGCAGTCAGATAAAAGAGAATTACACACTGAAGAAACGAGAATGTGCATGTCTGTGTAGTCCTGGAGAATCTGATCCCCAAAATCTTTAATGCCTTTTGACCAAACAGCTTTTGAATTAGGTCTGGACTTTTATATTCCCAAAATTCTCAGCTAATGGATTTCTCACCCAAGTAGCTTAAATATCACATCAGCTGCATCCTGAGGAAACCTCACACACTTGCCATGAGAGACGCTCAGCTTGCCCAGAGGGACTAACCCATGAGTCACCACCTGCACCCTCCTCCTCCCTGGGACAAAATAACAAACGTTGGCATTAAAAAATCAACCATAAAAACACAGCTCTGTTCTGACCACAACAATAACAAAAAAATTGGCCAGCTTTTGCTGCAGCTACCTGCTTTTGCTAAAAAATAAAAACTTCCAATCCATATTTAATAAAAATCACAGTCTTGCAGAATCCATTCAGTGACTTGGTCGTTCTGTTCATTGCACAATCACTGATGGTAAACAAATTCTCTTCCTCTCACTATTAATAGTGCCACAAAAGCACCATGAGAATGTGGAGAGTTTTCCACTCCTTAGCACTGTGAAAGTCAAGACGGGATGAAGCAGAAAAAAACCCACAATCTCAGTTCCCCCCTAAAAAATCCCTAAAAGAACAGAACATTCCCTCAGCCTCCTCTTCATTGTATTTTCAGGCACAGAGGACAACACAGACCAGAGCATTTAGAAAATAAATCTCAAAAAAAGTGTTGCAGATGAACATAAAAACCTTGAAAGTCGACTGTTCCTAAAGTCAACCTGTAAAAGTATTTTTATTCTACGTCAATCCTTGTTGTATTTTCTAAAGGACATTATTTATTCTTGTATTAAGTGAAGTCCAAGGCACCTCTAAGTATTAATTCATACAAATATTCTGTGTTTTATAAAGTAAGGCACAGCAGACCTATCTGCAGAGAAAACATTTTAGGCAACCCAAAAGCAGTAAAAATGGTTCAGAAGCACACACAAAATTTCTGTAAATTCTTTATTGCATGGATTAAGAAAAAAAGTATTCCCTTTTCTACATCAACTCCCAGGGTCCAAAGAGTTACAGGGTCTGCCTTACACACTGATGTTAGAAGAAGCAGTTCAGTTTTCCACAAGCCAAACTTGTTTTACAGAACAGGAAACCAACCAACAGTTAGAAAAACACTCATTAAAGCTGGTATTATAAGGAGAGTTCCCTTTAGCTATGCAAGTCTGCCACTGATGTAATTCATCCATCTCAATTTACAGTGCAGCTTGAATCCACTCACTCTCACTGGACATTTTCCAGTTTGGAAATCTGTTTGGAAATCTGTTTTTTCTCTATACATTCTGAACTAGCTCTGAGCCCCCTGCAGGCTCACTGGGCACCCTTGGCTGTTCCTTTGCTGTGCAGGATGTTGCTCACAAGCTGATGAAGCAGAGGCAGCAGAGGACAATGGTGTGTGCTGGGGCTGGGGCTCCTCACAGGCTCCACAGCATGGCCACAGCCTTGCAGATGCCCACGTCCTGGTAGTTGAAGTAGCAGAGGCCAGCGAAGGTCAGGCCAGACAGGACATACAGCCCCATGTTGGCCACTTTATTGGGTGTATCTCCATGCACATAATCAGTGATTACCTGGCCCAGACCCCTAAATGAGAGAGAAAAGCTCAGATCAGCAAAGTTCACTCACTGCAAGTGTCCCCACTCTACCAACTCGTTTTTCTCCCCCTGCTGCCATTCCTGGAGAATGCTCAGTTCCCACTCAGAAAGAGGATCAATCTATTTCAAAAACAAAACAAAACATTCCACAGATTCTATTGAAAATACAAAGACTGGCTCAGAGTTTTCATGAGGAAACCAAGTGCTGACCACAGCTCTCCATATAACACAATCCTTGGAATGTGCCTTCTTACCTAAATTCCAAGGACTGGAAAAGAGGAAAACCAAGGAAATATCTGGGAGCAGCCACTGTCACAAAGACACTGGGTATGCATTTAGAATAGAAGAGTGGCAACCAAAGAAATTAGCAAATTTTCATTTTTTTCTATATCTGGTAGTGAACTCCTGTCCAGATTTGAACTATCCAGCAACACGAGACACAGGATTCTTGTTTTGGGAAAAAGCTCCCAGCCAGAGCAAGGAAAGTGCAAGAATCCCTGGCACAAATTCCTAAGGACAAAACTGAGGTTTAAGAAAACCTGGCACCCTCAAAGTACCAGGAAAATCTGCTTTATCCTTGTGACAAGGAACTCCCAAACCTCAGCAAGGTGGATGCTGCCAGTCTGGCCAACCATGTAGCTGGATCCACTCCTAATTAGTCTTCTGCTCTCATTAAGGATGACAGCAGAACTACACTGAGCAAACATCCATCCAGGAATAAAGGAAATAATCATCCAGGTCTCTTTAGTGGAATATTTGCTGTGAGCTCTCTATTATGCAGGACCTCATCACCACTAAGATGTACAAAGTCAATGCACGGAGCTTTAGAGGCAGAATATTTTTATATTATTTTTATATAGATCTGTCCTCTTTCTGTTCACACAACACTGGTTCTTCCACGGGTTAAAAACATCCAGGATTCTACACTTCCAGAGGCAAAGAAGTGCTCCTAAGGGTAAGATACTACAGAGTTTTTATGGATTATTTTTCCAAGTGAGAGAACAGTGTGAGAAAGGAAGACCAAAGTACAACTGACACTGAACGTGGAGACCAAGGACTTTTCCCAGGTGTTTTACACCAGACCAGGATGAGGTTTGGAGCCAGCAAACCTTCTTTCCTGTGAGTTGAGCCCTGCTGTGCTTACCAGTGGCCGTGCAGGGTGAGGGCTGCAGCCAGGGAATAATCCACAGCCGGTCCAGGGCACAGGTAGGCTGCAGGCAGCAGCCCCAGCAGCAGCACACTGACAGCTCGCTCCCCTGTCCAGTGCAAAGATGCAGCCTTGGAACTGCCTGCAAGGAGAAACATTCTCAGGGAACAGCCCCTGGGCCAAGGGCTGAAGGGATGGCTTTGATATCTGGAGTGTTTGCAAACCAAAACCCAGCATGAGCAATGCTTGGAAACACAACGGGAGCATCGACAAGGCTGAAACCATCAAGAATTGACCCTGAGAAATCATCAGTGCAACACCCTCAAAGTGCTCAACTAACACAAAGATATCATCCATCCTCTAAACCAAAATGCAAATGTTTTCCTTCGTTTTGGCACGGAGAGAAGTCATTTAGAAAGTGACAAGACAAGGAAAGCAAAGGATCTGAAGTTTGGACTTGAGCAAAGTGCAAGCTGACGTGCAATGAACTGGTAACAGTGCTGCTGAAGGTGAGGGTACACACACTCCTCACAGCCTGAGACACTACAACACCACAATTATTTATCACAAATAACATCTCTGCACACTTACTGCCCTACCTAACAACACTCAGCATTTCACAACTTCTCCCTTAAATCAATGGGCATTTAGGATTATTTTTTTCCTTTGCTGGTAACACTCGTAACCTACATCACCCAAAAAGACACCAAGAAAAGCACTGTACCATGTGTAAATCTCTTCTGTTCTTTGCTACAGCTACCACTTAAAATCTCCTAAGTGGCCCAAAAAAAAATGATAGACTCAGCCTGGTTTGGTATGGGAGGCACCTTAAAGCTCATCTTGTTTTTAAGTCCCTGTATGGCCATTGGGTACCACTTCCATCACCTCTGTCCTTTATCCCTGCACCGCTGTCGGTCCCTTGCAGGACCCGAGCCAAAATCTGGTCCTTTACAACCCACTCTTGAATCACAGAGTATTCAGAAGTTGGAACAGACCTTAAGGATCATTTAATCCCAACGCCTGTCATAGGCAGGATGCCTTGCGCTAGACCCGGCTGCTCGGACTCCATCCAGCAGTTCCGGCCATGAGAAAAGGAGTCTTGATGCCGGAACAACGAGACCCCCGCACACAAACACAGACAGACAGACAGACAGACACAGGCAGGGCCGTACCGTGTCCCTGGGCGGGCGGGCCGTGGCTGTCGCGGACCGGGACGCAGCGAGCGGCGGCGGCACCGAGCGCGGCGGGGCGGCGGAGCAGGGCCGAGCCCAGGACAGCTGCGGGGACAACGGGGACAACGGCGTGAGCGTGAGGATCCCGCACCCTCCGGGGATCCCGGAGCCACCAGAGATCTCGCACCCTCCGGGGTCCCGAAGCCACCGGGGTCCCGCACCCTCCGGGGTCCCGCACCCTCCGGGGTCGCGGTCCCCGCCCGCCCCGCAGCCCCAGCCTCACTCACCCAGGGCGGCCCCGCGGGGCCGTGCCCGCAGCAGCGCCAGCGCCATGTCCGCTCCAAGGGCACCGCGCCCGGACACGGAAACGCCGCCGGAGCTTCCGCTTCCCCCTGCCCGGCACCGGGAGCGCGCGGGCGGCACCGGGAGCGCGCGGGCGGCACCGGGAGCGCGCGGGCGGCACCGGGAGCGCGCGGGCGGCACCGGCAGCAGCCAGGCCGAGCTCCCTGGGGCAGCTGGGAAGTGCCGGAGACAGCGGGAGATGGGATTTGGGATTTGGGTGAGGAATCCTCCCTGTGAGCGTGGGCACGCCCTGGCACGGCCGCCCAGAGGAGCCGTGGCTGCCCCATCCCTGCAAGTGCCCAAGGTTGGAGCAGCCTGGAAGGTGCTCATGGAACTGGAATATCTCTGAATTGCCTTCCAGCCCAAACCATTCTGTAATTCTGCCTAAAGCCCTCAACACCTGCAGCAGGCCCAGGTGCTCCTCACCTGTGTGTTCACTACTAAAACACCTTTGTACACAGCATAAGCACCTCCGTGAACATCCCGTTTTTTCTTTCCATTTGAAGGGAAAAAAAGAACAGCAATCAGGGCTTGGAGTGAGGATTTAGGGCCCGTGACACTGTTTTGTGCTTGTCCAGGACACAACAATCACCCCACACATTTCCCCAGTGCCCTGATTTCATCTGCAAGTGTGGTGAAGCAGAAACAAAACAGCACAGGGAGAACACAGACACACACCCAGACTGTGCTCTGTCCCTGGGCTTTGCTCCAGAACAATGACAAAAGCATCAAACACATCTGGATTTATTTATTTTATTAAAAGGCTTGGCTGTTTGCTGCAGGGAGAACGGCCTGGTACCAGTTTCTCCAGTAACACTGGGCAGAGCAGAGACAGGACACAACACCCACCAAGGCCTCTCTGTCAGCACAAATGGTTTCAGCATCCCCATAGAGATGGAAGGAAGGTAGACATGGTGGTCAGCCCACAGCAGGCTCTGGACAGGAGTCTAAACCAAGCAGATGAGCTGATTCACCATTAGAGAAGTCACTGCACCTTCAGCTCATATTCCCTCAGCTCCCCTCCATGCCCAGCTGACCCTGTGCACGCCCCCATGGTGGAGGACGGGAAGACAAAACTACCGTGGGGCTTACAGTGACATTTCCTCTGTTACCAGCTTGATTTATCAGCCTGTCCTCTCTCCTACTGGACATTGTTTTGGTGAGCCAAAAGAACAATCTGTTCCAACATAATTTACAAAAAAACCCAACCCGATCACAGCCAAAGACTCTGAAGCTGGCAGGATGTAGGTGCTGTCCTGCTCTGCTGCCCTGTGAGCCCGGGGGCAGCCAGGCTGCCAGGCTCGGTTGCTCCCTGTGGGCTGGCAGGGTGTGTGTGTAAACCAGTATTGGAGCAGTGGGGCAGTGCAGAGTGACAGACCTGCCTCTGTCCTCCCCTCCTGCTCTGAGCTGCACCCAGACCCCTCAGTCCTCATCAGAGCTGTCCTCAGATTTCTCATCCCCCGCCACCTTCCAGTTCTTCCTCTTGCTCCTCTTCTCTGGCACCTCACTCGGCCTCTCCGGTGCCGAGTTGTGCCGCTTCTTTCTCTTCCTTGGGGGCCGTTTCTCCTTTTTCCCCTCGGATTCAGTGTCCTCAGAGCTGCTGGTGCTGGAGCTGCTTGCATGGGAAAAGTCACTCTCCTGCCCAGAAGAAGAGGTAGGTTCCTTGGCAGGCACTTTCCTGGGTTTTTTCTTGCGCTTGTGTTTTCCTTTCCGGGTGCTTGGAGTTTCCTCTCCTGAGCCCTCGCTCTCCCCCCGGGAGGAATCTGTGGAAGTTCTCTCCTGCTCCTTTTTCTTTTTCTTCCTCTTTTTGTGTGAACGCTTTTTTTGCTTCTTCTTGTGGGATTTCTTGGTTCTTTTCCTTTTGTGGGACTCACGGGCTGTTTGTTTCCCCGGGTGGGATCTCTTCTTCCCATTGACAGCATTTTGTTCATCTCCTTCCTGCTGATCACTGGAAAAAGAACAGAAGGAGATGAACTGAAAGCCACTGAGTGATGAAACTCATTTATATCCAATCTGTAAGCCTGAAAAATATGAATGATTCTGCTGGGTATAGGGTAAAAATAATTAATTCTGTCTTAAAATCTTGTTTTTCCACTCTCTAGGATACTGCAAGAATTTATTTACCTCCCAGACTCATAGATTTTGTTATCTCCAGCTAAACACGAATATCATAATTACTACAAAAGTTTCTCCTAAGACTCACAGCTCATTAATGGATTTGAGTTTTTTAACCGTAAGGGCTTGCTCTCGAGGCTGATCTCTATCCAAAAATTAAAACTCAGTTTGTAGAATTCCCTGTAGAACTTGTCAAAGGCAGATTCTGGATCCATCAGTAAGGGTGTCTGCCTTACCTGTCTGTGTCAAATTCTTCAGGATATAACTCTTTATATCCACTGTGCCCCCACCTGTAAGAAAGCAGAACCATCCATTAAAAACAGACAAGGTGTTTGAGGACAAAAATGCAATTCTGAAAAGGCAGAGCCACAGAATGAATCTGAGTTTAGACAGGGAGGAAGGAAATAGGACTGATTCGATTTGGTTGGTGAAATTTAAATCACCTTATGTTCTCAAAGCACAACTCAAGATTTTTTTAAAACAACCTTGGACTTGTGTTTCTCGAGGTTTTTTTAATGCTTATTGGGCAGAGTAATAAATATTAAGCTTAGGGCTGAGATTTTGCTGCTTAGTGTGGCTTAGAAACTCCACAGATGAGCTCAGATTGGTCATTCTGTGACATGGCAGAAGTTTGTACACGTTATTTATTCTCAAAATGAGCTCAAGCTCTATTTTATCACAGCATACACCAAACAGAAATGTGCCTTTTTTTTGTACAGGACTCCAAAAAGATGTTTCAATTACAACCACAGAACACGGAATTCCCCCCACAGACCTGTCTGGCATGTTGGCTTCACATTCATACAGCTTTTTATTCCAGGATCTGGCCCTGAGGAGATCATCTTCCACCAGGTCAAGGAGCTGTGGGTTCCTGGATTTCCAGTTCCTGTGCCCCTCGTCGTCGAAGCCATCGCTGCGCATGCGACTGCTGCAGAGAGGGAACAGCTCCTTCAGGGGGGAAACACCTCCCAGAGACCCCCCTCATTTACCTGCACCTTCAACATTTCACAGCTAAATGAACACAGAAATGGTCAGGCTTAAGCAGAGGCTTCACCTCTTTCCAAGGAGTCATTAAGGAGAAAATCAGTATTTCTGTGATGTCTCACCTGGAGGTGTCTGATAGCATTCTGCTCTGCCTTTTCCAGTAAGTCTCTTCTGTCTGCTTCTCCCATTCCCTTATTTTCCACATTTCTGTCTCTTCCTGAAGCTGAAATCACAGAAAGGGAAACGACTTTAACATCAGGGAAATTCACAGTCATGCAGCACGTAAGCTCCAACCTCAACACTCCTGGTAAGAAAACTCACAGGCACCTTTCCTACCATCCCCAAACAAAGGATTATTTACACATATCTGTATCCAAAAGAGAACTTCCTCATGGTGGTTAGACCTGCTGAATTATGATTCATGAAAGAGTTTGTTAAACTTAATGGAGTTGCTTCATCTTGCCTGTGCACACAAAGTTCAGATTGTTTCATGCAATTAAAAGCACATACACAGTGCAACAAATGAAATAAAACCTATTAAAGATTTGCCACTTTTTAAGTAAGTACAGACATCTTCCCTCACTGGGGTGACAACTGAAGGGAAACGGGGTGAAACTAAAACTCGGGGAAACCGTAACGAGTTTAAACCGAACTCGACACAAACAGCGCTAAACCGAAAGTCACCCTGAGGATGCGGATGCGGCCGATTCACCAAACTCCTTTTATTTCTGCCGAACACCCAAGGATCAGCAGCGCGGCACGAAGCCCGTCCCGCATCACCGGCTGGCATCACCGGGATGTCCCCGCACCCCGGGATGTTCCCCCATCACCGTGTGGCACAACAGGCCTGTCCCCGCACACCCCGGGATGTCCCCGCACACCCCGGGATGTCCCCGCACACCCCGGGCTGTCCCCGCACCCTCACGCTGTCCCCGCACCCCGAGCCGCCCCGCTGGGCCCCGCAGGCCCCGCTCGGCGCGGGCCTCACCTTGTTGTGCGCTCCGGTGTGGCGGATGACGTTGCGCAGCAGCACCTTCCCCACGGGCACGCGGGACATGCTGTGGCCGCTGCCGCGGGCCCGTGCCGGGCGCGGTGCCGGTGGCTCTGGTGGCGGTGTTTGTGGCGCCGGTGGCGGTGTCGGTGGCGATGTTTATGGCGGTGTCGGTGGCGGTATTTGCTGTTGGCGGCGGGGCCGGGCCGGGCCGGGCCGGGCCGGGCGGGGGACGCGGAAACGCGCGGGGCCGCGCGCGCGCCGCTTCCGGCGCCGTCTCCAGGGCAACGGCGCCGCCATGGCCGCCATGGCCGTGAGGGCCGCGGGCTCCGGGCGGCCCAGACCGAGCAGAACCGCCCCAAACGGAACAGAACCGTTCCAAACCGAGCAGAACCGCTCCAAACGGAGCAGAACCGCTCCAAACGGAACAGAACCGCCCCAAACGGAACAGAACCGCCCCAAACGGGAACAGAACCGTCCCGGTACCCCCGGGCCCAGCCCCGCGCTGCCCCCGTGGCTCAGAGCTCCCGGAGCATGGGCTGGGACAGCAGGTGGCAGCTCTAAAGAAATCCTCTTTTGAGGAAAAAATACCTCAAAGCAACCGCAAAAATTCCCAGAAACTCTGTGTCTGGAAAAGCTGTAACTCGTTAACAGTTTCAATCAATTATTTAACTAATAAAATTTTATATAATGGTTTAAATTCAATTTTAAGTAATGGTTTTAATAAAATTTTGAATAATAATTTTAATCAATTTTAAGTCTTACTTATAATTTATTGTTTTAATTAATTGTTTTCCTTAATCGTGGATATTCTTAGCCAGCATTTAGCAAAGCTGTTGTAAGATACTTCTTTAGAAACAGCTTGGGAAAATGCCTGAAACTTCTTGAAGTTTTGGCAGATTACACAACAAAAGCCCAGAGTGAAAATCTTCAGTGAGGTGGGGTTTAGGGTGTTTTTAATTCACTTTTTACTCGTGAGGGGTGAGTATCTCAAATAATGCCTTCAGAGATGCAAGTAAGAAAAGGAAGGTTGGAGGAATAGTAGCACCATCAAACTCACAAAAAAAAAAAAAAAAAAATTAATGCTGAGACACCCTGTCACACACAGCCCCCCACAGGTGAAGCTGCAGACAGCAAAAAGCAAATGTCTGGGAAGATTTGTGATGAAATCTCAGGTTAATAGGGTGAGTGTCACTGTGAGACTGAAAGGCTGCAGAGCACTGACCCAGAGCAGGAAAGCCACACACAGCTGAAGAGAAAAGCACTGGGACATGGTTTAGTAGTTGTCAATTCCAAACATTTAATGGAACATGGGTTCACTAAAGCCAGTCTGGAATCAGGGTATTTCAGGTCATTCAAGAAAATCCAAAACCTTAATGCACCTTTTTTTCTTTTTTTTTTTTAAAGCAAGGCATCACAGCAACGACACTAAATAGTTCCCACAAAAATATTTAATTTCCACAGTATTTTCTTTCAATATCTTTAGTGCATTATGTAGAATAACAAGGATCACCCTGAACAACTTCTTCCTTTTTTTTTTCCAACTCTGTCCCCCTATTTAATTCTCCTGGTCACTCTGTCATTACTGCACGGTTGTCCTTTTTTTTTTTTTTACATGAACATTTCCATGTGGAAAGTGGAATTTCAGAATGTTCAGCACTGCAGCCCTTGCAGGATACAATGCCTGGAGTAACTGGACACGAGTCCAACAGACTAGAGAAGCACCTTACATACAATATGTACATGGAGAGCACATTCTGCAGCTTTACTGAGGCTGGACAACAAAGACAATCCAGGGAAGGTCTGCAATTCCAGTGGCTTAAGTCAGAGCTTCCTATGTTAGAATGCCTGAAATGAAAAATCCCAAACATCCCAGTCCTCACATGATTAACATCCCCTGGTGGGATTATCAGCATGTGTGATTTGTCTACACTGGCTTCATTGAGCATTCTGCAGAGCAGTTACTTCCATGGCATCAGAGCCTGGGCTTAACTTAGCCAGAGGAACAGCAGCTACAGAGTTTGATACAAAAAGCAGATGTCAGTGAGAGTCCATGAGGAGACAGCACAATCCCTGTGACCCCACAGACAGCAGTGCTCTGTCACCTTAAAGTGCTCAGCAGGGATCACGGAGCTGAGAAGGTCCCGGGCAGTGCCAAATTCCAAAAGGGCTTTGGAACAGCAGCACTTGGCCCTTGAGACACCATCCCCAGGCACTTCAGTCCCTCAGTGCTGTGCCATCTCCCCCAGCCCAGGACAGGAGAATGTGGGAGTTCCCCTCCTCCTCCTCCTCCTCGTACCTTTCTGTGGCCATCTCACCTGCACTCCTGTGAAGAGATGTTTGAAATTCCAACCTGACAACACTGAGGTCATGAATGGGATGCACCCCCTGGGCACCCGAGTTTAGAAGCAGCTGGCATAATGCCAGGATAATTTTGAGTTTGTTTTTTTTTTAAAATCTGGGATGCTTAACTCTGTTTTGGAAGAGTTTGCAAGTTAACTAACTGTATAAAAATACAGTGTAGCTGTAATATTGCTCTGAAAAGCACTTTTGCAAACTTTTTTTTTTTTCTGTACAGACTGGTAAATAACATTACCAGATAATATAATACATATTTTAAATTAAAAAAAGAAACTCTCTCAAAGTCTGAACACTAAAGTCTAAACAGCTTGTTTAAAACACAACAGTGTGACCCAGGAAAATTCTGCTTTGCATGGTTAAATTATAGCAGCATGGTTACTGGTTTTTCAAGGAAATTCTTGAACTCAGCAAGCCACTGTGCTCCAACTGCTCCATCCACAACACGGTGGTCACAGCTCAGGGTGACAGACATCATGCTGGCCACGTCAAAGCTGGGAGAAAAACACAAAAAAAAAAGGGTTAACACACTCCTCTGCAAGGCAGTGCCACTTAGACAGCAGGAAAGCTGTTCTTGGAATAGCAGGGAGTATTACCCAACAGCTGCCAGGAATAGCAGCTGGTGCTTGGTGACAGAGGTTTCCCCCAGTTGCACTGGGGAGCAGATCATGTTCATTCCTTCTCTGAGGGAAACTAAGGAGGGAACTTCCCGCGGGCACTAAGAACACCTCTGTGTGCCCTCCTTAGGGCAGGGAGCTCAGCTTTCCTCACAGCACAAGGACAGCCCCACACAAAGAACAGGAACCATTTTAGCTCCAAGCAGGGGGATATTCTACACAGGATCCATTCTTTAGGTTTTCCTTACGTGCAAATTTAAGTAAGCAGTGAAAGCACTGTGTCAACAACACATTTTAGGGTTTTAAAAATTATTTTCTGATGTAGGTGTTATGAAACCAGGCATGATTTCAGAGTTTGATTCAGGATCAGATGAAAACTCACCCTTTCTCATTATCAGCTGGCACTAGTATTTCTTTTGAGGAACCCACTGCCAGGATGCAGGCTTGAGGTGGATTGATTATGGCAGAGAAATTCTTAATCCCATACATTCCTAAATTGGAAATTGTGAATGTACCCCCCTAGAAGAAAACAAATACATTCATGGTGAATCTCACAAAAAAGAAAAGAAAACTGTTCTATGTGGGAATATGAGGAGAGGTGGGACCTCATGCCAGTCTGCAGCTCCCTGATGAGGGGAGAGCAGGGACAGGATCCGGGGAGCAGCTGGAGCTGTGCCAGGGGAATTTGGGATGGAGATGAGGGAATGGGCACAGCCCCGAGGCTACCAGAGCTCCAGGAGCCTTTGGACACCTCTCCAGGGATTCCCAGGGTGAGATTTGGGGTGTCAGGAGCTGGATTCAATAATCCCTGTAGGTCCCTTCCCACTCAGGATATTCTGGGACTCACAAAACCTTTGCTCCTTTGAAACAAGCCAAGAGCAGCAGAGCACACCACCACCACGAGTGTCCCACCTGGAATTCGTGAGGCTGGAGCTTCCCTTCCCGGGCCTTGGCTGCCAGGGAAGCCACGTCCTTGCTGATGGCAGCCAGGCCCTTGATGTGAGCGTTGAAGACAATGGGGGTGATGAGCCCTGCGGGGGTGCTGACAGCCACACTCACATCCACCACGTGATTCCTGCAACACACACAGCAGATGAAATCACTCCAGCAAGACAGCAAACAAACAAACAAAACAGGCCAGACGACCCAAAATTAATATTGATTTACAACAATTATTTCACCTTGCTCACCAGCCTTAGAGTCAAAGATTTTTATCACTTTAACAAAACCTCTCACCTTCCTATCATATTTTTCCCCTCCCACAAATCCCAGCAGAAGTTCTGTTTTGCCACGAACAAAGGAAGTTTCTGGCTCTGACCATGCCATAAACTTACTGCCTAATAACTGTGTCCAACCATGAAGAATTTGCCTCAGGCACCTTCAAGCACGCCAAAGCAGAAGCTTTAATTATGAAATCGTTGACAGAAAGCTTAACATCAGCTGGGACCTCCTGCAAATAAAGAGATTCCAGGTGTCAGTTTGTCCAGTTTGTCCCCTGCACATCACCCCAGTTAATGAGGGCAGTTCACAGGAAACATTAAAAAACAATCACACCAGTTGCAAACATTAAAATGCAAAGATAATTTAGAAGGTGAAAGTATCTCCTTCGTAATACAAGAATGTACGGTTTTTAATGTTTAGTTTTCATCAAATTTGTCTTAGAATTATTATTCTGGCTAATGTTTTCACCTTTCTTACTATTAAAAAGTTTTCTATCTTTTTATTTCCCACCTGAAATAATGAATCACCACCAAGCAGAGCTCAGAACAGCCCCTTAGGGAAGTCAGGAATCAGCAGACGTGAGGAAAATCTCATTCTGTCACAGACAGTCCAGAACTGACCCACAAAAGGCACTGAAAAGTGTTTTTTTCCAAGCCCAGATGCCAGAACTCACCTGATTGAGCTCTTTCCTTAGCACCAGGACTTTTCCCATGTTCACATCGATGGACAGGTAGTAGTGAGGTATCGTTTGTTTGGACTGCATCAGCCTCTGAGCAATGACCTGGGGGAGGGCAGAGCAAGGAGCACCAATCAGCCTGGAAAACTCATGGCTAAAAACAAGGATTTTGGAAAAGAATCAAGTCTTACCCTGCGAATGTTGCTGATGGGGATGTCTG